TAAGCCGTCTACAGGCCCACGGCACCCGCGGTGGGGGGGTTTTACCCTCTGCGCACACCTGGGGGCGGCGTGTCAGCAGACAGGGAGAAGGAGCCTTGGGGTGGCTACTTCAGGAGGGAGCCCGGCGGTCTGTGTTCAACTTCTAGCTCTGCTGCGTGACCCTGGGCAAGTCGCCTGTCCTCTCTGAGCCTGCTTCCCATCTGCAGAATGGGGCGCTGACTGCAGACCCTGCCTCCCAGAGCTGTGAGGATGATGTGTAAGGTGGTCCTCTGTCGACGTGACCGAGACCGGCCTCCCCCAACCCCTCCGAGAAACGCCGAGTCCAGAGCCCCAAAGCCCCAGAGCACAGAGGCACCCGCTGAGGACCTGGCGCTTGCAAGAAGTGCTGCCAAACGACTGGCCCCTCCATCTGTCCCCCCAGCAGGCTGTGGACGGCCACTGTGTGGAAGCGTCCCCACCCACGCCTTTCTGGTTTGACTGGAAAACAAGGCCCCGGCCCACCACCTATCAGGGTGTGTGTGACGAGTGCCCCTCCGGGCGCCCAGGCTGCGCCTTCCACCTGCTCAGGCTGGGGTGGGGGCGGTGCAGGTGACAAGCCAGCCTCCCCCGGGGAGAGGGAGAGAGAGGTCTGGAGGTGGAGTGGGGCCTCTTAGAGGTCACCCAGGCCACCCCCAGGCATCTTGGTGCTGCCCAAGCTGAGGACAGGGTGGACAGAGATGGGAGTCTGTGGAGTCTGGCCTTGCTTACCCCCAGTGACGGGAAGCTCATTCTTTGCACTGCCATCGTAGATGGCTCTGGCTTCCTGAAGCTGCGTCTTGGAACTTGGCCTTGGTCTGAGTCTGGGCTTCCTGGCCCAGGATGGCGCTTGGAGCGTGGGAACAGGGTGGGTCTCCTCCCACCTGGAAATCGAGTTGAGGGTCAGAGGGGGTCCCCGTGGCCACCTCGTCCCTGCCCCCGTCCCTACCCCCCACACACTTCCCACTGGGCCCGCAGCCTTCCTGCCTCTGGCCCTTTAAGGCCGGGCAGGAAGCCCCTCCCCATTTAGGGCAATAAATGGACGAGGAAAATGGCCGAGGGCCTGTGTGCTGTGCGTCGCCTGGAGGAGGCTGCCCCGCCGGGGCAGGGGGTGGGCAGGCAGCAGGCAGCCACCCCAGGCCCTGGGTGCCCCCCGACCGGGACACTGCATTCCTGTCCCATTAAGCCCAGGCCGGGGACCGGGCCAGGCGGGGATTGGCACCAGGTCAGGGTGGGGTAACCCGTCGGGACCAACCTTGCAACACAGGCCGCCGGGCGGGGAGGGGGTGGGGGCCGCCGGGCCAGGGCCTGGCAGCAGCACCTGCGTGCCAGGCTGGCTGTGTGACCTTGGGCCGGCCGCCCACCCTCTCTGCGCCTGGACCTCCCCTTCAGCCTCCTCCCCGGGCCCCACCACCCCTCCCTTGGCACACAGTAGGTGAGGATGGGCCCAGACTCCCGGCATCGTGTTCGGGAGTGACGTTCACATGACCTGGCTGGGCCTTTTTGGGACTGGCTTTGGCGCACAGTAGGTGTCCAGGCAAAGTCTGCTAAGGATGTGAGCGGGACTCCGTCCTTGCGCTCGCTCCCTGGCCACAGAGGAGCTGCTTTTCCGGCTGTCACGACCCCCCGCCCCAGGAAGGGCTCAGAGAGGCACTGCCTCTTGCCCAAGGTCACGCAGCTTAGAAGTGGAGCAGCAGGGACTGGGCTGCCCTCCCTGCAGGGCACACAGTAGGTGTGAGAGCTGCCTTCTTCCCTTCCCTGCTCGCCCTGGGTGGAAGAGTGGGGGGGCCCTGAACCCCACATGAAGTGGTCCTCTGTCCCGGAAGTGCCCTCCAGGAAGGCCATGGGTGGCAGTCACCTGCCCGGCCCCCTTGCCAGCTGTCCCTCCTCCTTCCTGAGGAGCGTGGGTGGGACAAGGCCAGGCCCCAACCCTCACCTTGCCTGTGACCTTGGGAAGGCCCCCGGCTCCTGTGCCCCTCTCTGGGTTGCCCACCCCTGGGCCTCTGTTGCTGCTGTTCCCTGTGCCAGGCCACCCTGCCATGGTCCCAGGGTCCTGCCTGGGTGACACTTGCTGCACGTCCCTGGGGAGCTCGGGTCAGAGGGCCTGAGTCTAGACCAGGCCACCGATCTGCTGTGTGACTTTGGCTGGGTTTTGTAACCTCTCTGAGCCTTCAGGTGAACTGAAGGCACCTGGTTGGTTCCTCAGAGTTCTGGGGCACAGGGGCCTGGGGCTGAAATGAGGCCTGGGTCCTTTTGCCTTAGGAAGAAACTATAGCATGCGACCCTAGGTTAGATGGGAGGTGGGACTGGGTGTGCCTGCAGCCAGGTGGGCGCGGCCAGGCGTGGTCTTTGGTTCCTCCAAGGTTTGCTGCATCCATACTGGGTTTGCTGCGTCCCTACTGTGCGCCGGCCCGGGGAGGGCCGGGCTTAGGGACCTGGGAGCGGCCCAGGGGGAGGAGGGCGCCCCACCTCCAGCCCAGGAGGGGCCTGCCAGGGCCTGCCCCTTGCCGCCGAGTCAGCACCGAGCGGCCCGGAAATCCCACGAGGCGAGTGCGGGGGAGGGGCTGTGATGAAAGATGGGGCCCTGGGTGGGTGTGGGCCTGGGCTCAGGGGACCCTGGCTGGTGGGTGTGGGGACCTGGTTAACGTAGGGGGGCAGGTGCCGAGGCTTCCTGGGGGAGGAGGGGAACGAAACCAGCACACACGGGGGCACCCACTGTGTGTCGTGCGCACAGTGGGTCTTCAGCACATGGGTGCTTTCTGTTGCTGGGACTTCACAGCTGCCTGACGGGGCTCTGGCAGGGCCCCATTCACCTCAAAGGCAGGGTCTTCGGCCCTTTCCTTAGGGGGAGGCCCCCCGAGAGGGCATGGTGGGGGCGGTGGCCCAGGGCGTGGCCGGCAGGTGGCCTGTGTTCCTGGAGAGAGAGGGTGTGGGTGCGGGTCTGGTGTCTGCAGAGTGAGTTCGGCTTCCAGGGCGAGGGCAGGGCAGCGGGTGGGGGGCCAGCCCCTGGGAGTCAGCCCCACTGGGCGCCCTTGGCCAGGGCAGTAGCCTCAGTGTTCTCATCTGTAAAATAGGGGGCCACTCACAGGGGCTCCCCCTGGCTGGAGAGGGCAGAGACCGAGCCCATAGGCCCCACTGTGGCCTGGAGCCTGGTTCCACACTTAAAGTGGGGCTGCAGCAGCCCCCGGCCTGTGGAAGCCAGGGGTGCAGAGTAGCCATGGGAGGGTGAGTCACCTGGGCCGTTTCGGGGAGGCCCCTGTAAGCCACTCCAGGGGAACCCTGGGTCACCTGAGGGGGGACCAGCACCCTGGGCCCCAGAAGCCATCTGGGGCATTGGTGGCCCAGGTCAGAGGTCCCCTCTCCCCCGTGCTAGGGGGTGGGCTGGGGGAGGGCCGGGTCTGATCCACAGCCCCATCTGCCCACATGCTCCCCGCAGCCGGGGCCAGACGGCAGATGGTGGCAGGGGGTGGCAGCCGCCAACGGGGGCTCCTCTGAGGCTCCATGGGCCGGGCCACCGATGGGGTCCCCCCTCCCTGCTCCTGGCAGCCACATCTGAGCACCCCCCTCCCCACCGCAGGCCGCCCGACCCAGAGGGAGGTGAGCAGCTGGTGCCCGGCCCGTCGTGGGAAGGAGGGCAGGTGAGGGGGGCCGCAGCCAGGGAGCTCTGGGAAGTGTGGCTGCTGGGCCCACGACATGAAGGCCTCTGTGTCGGCCCCTTGGCCTGGACCCCACTCCCAGGGCCACCCTGACCTTGGGTCTGGCCGCTCCGACACCAGGTCTCCCTTGCCCGCCTGGCCACAGGGCAGGAGGGTCTCGAGGCCCAGGAGGTCCCAACTCAGGCCATCTCCTCGGGGACCTTGCCTGGGGGCTCTGGCCTGAGAGCCGGGCACCCGCCCGGAGGAATTCGGCTTGTGTTGGGTGGCTCGGGGCAGCCGGGGGCTCCCAGGAGAGGGTGGAGGGTGGGGACAGAGCCAGAGGGTTGCACAAGCGCCCGAGTGGGCGGATGAGTCACAGTCGAGGGAAAGGCGGAAAACGGGGTGGGGGGGCTGAGGGAGAGGGGTCGGACAGACAGCCCCCCAGGGCCCGGCTCCTGAGACCTCTGCCCATTTGACAGATGGGGAGACTGAGGCCCAGAGCGCGCCAGGGCCCTGTTGCGGGCCAGACAGTGCCCCCACAGAGGCCGAGAGTTGAGGGGGCTGCCAGGTGGGGGCGTGGGTAGGCTCCAATGGGCAGGAGGCCCCCTGCCACTCTGGGGACGTGGGCCAGGTGGTGGCCTGGTGTCCCTGTTACTCACTGCTGGGACCAAGCCCCGTGCCAGGGGATCCTTGGGGCAGGAAGGGGTTCGGCCTGTGGAGTCACTGGTCCTGCTCTGCCAGGGCACACCCATGGCAGCCTTGACCCCAGCCTGCTGCAGTGCCGGGTCCCGGGTCTCGGCCTCGCCCCTTCCTGCTGACTCAGAGCCCCCGAAGCGAACCAGGCCGACCAGGAGGCAGGAGCAAGGGTCGGCGAGGCCGAGGGCGGGGCTCCCAGGTCACGGGGCGTCAGGTCTGAGTTCGGATGCAGCCACGTCCTCACCGGGCAGGTGTCCGTTCCTCAGCTCCGCGACAGGGGGTGCCACCCACGGGCTGGTGGGGGCTCAGACGTGACCAGGGAGAAGTGGGAGCTTTGGGAACGTCCCTGCGTGGCTGCCTCCTCCATGTCGGCAGGAGCTCGTGCTTGGGTTAATAGGATGGCTCTGATCGGGGCAATTTCTTGAGCGCCTGCTGTGTGTTGCTGTGACACCTCCAAGTGTCCCTTCGGTGGGCACGCCCGTGTCGGGAGGATGCCAGGGTGTGCCCGTCTCCTGAGCACCCAGCATGGGCTCTGCCAGCGCAGTCTTACGTGGCAGAGCTAGAATAGGACATCTGACCGCCCTCGGGCACAGCTGGGGAAACTGAGGATGGGGGGACGGGGGGAGGACCCTTGGGTGCTGGGCGCTAAGACGCCCACCCACCCACTCACGAGCGCCCCCTTCTTCGCGGCGCTGCAGGTCTCGGCGCGGAAGATGGCCGGCGGCGTGGACGGCCCCATCGGGATCCCGTTCCCCGACCACAGCAGCGACATCCTCAGTGGGCTGAATGAGCAGCGGACGCAGGGCCTGCTGTGCGACGTGGTGATCCTGGTGGAGGGCCGCGAGTTTCCCACGCACCGCTCTGTGCTGGCCGCCTGCAGCCAGTACTTCAAGAAGCTGTTCACGTCGGGGGCCGTGGTCGACCAGCAGAACGTGTACGAGATCGACTTCGTCAGCGCCGAGGCGCTCACCGCGCTCATGGACTTCGCCTACACCGCCACGCTCACGGTCAGCACGGCCAACGTGGGCGACATCCTCAGCGCCGCGCGCCTGCTGGAGATCCCGGCCGTGAGCCACGTGTGCGCCGACCTGCTGGACCGGCAGATCCTGGCGGCCGACGCGGGCGCCGACGCCGGGCAGCTGGACCTCGTAGATCAAATTGATCAGCGCAACCTGCTCCGCGCCAAGGAGTACCTCGAGTTCTTCCAGAGCAACCCCATGAACAGCCTGCCCCCTGCGGCCGCCGCCGGCTTCCCGTGGTCCGCCTTCGGCGCGTCCGACGACGACCTGGACGCCACCAAAGAGGCCGTGGCGGCCGCCGTGGCCGCCGTGGCCGCCGGCGACTGCAACGGCTTGGACTTCTACGGGCCGGGCCCCCCTGCCGAGCGGCCCCCAACGGGGGACGGGGATGAGGGCGACAGCAACCCGGGCCTGTGGCCTGAGCGGGATGAGGACGCCCCCGCCGGCGGTCTCTTTCCGCCGCCAGCGGCCCCGCCGTCCGCCACGCAGAACGGCCACTACGGCCGGGGCGGGGAGGAGGAGGCGGCTTCGCTGTCGGAGGCGGCCCCGGAGCCCGGCGACTCACCAGGCTTCCTGTCCGGAGCAGCGGAGGGCGAGGACGGGGACGGCCCCGACGTGGACGGGCTGGCGGCCAGCACGCTGCTGCAGCAGATGATGTCGTCGGTGAGCAGGGCGGGCGCCGCCGCGGCGGGGGACAGCGACGACGAGTCGCGGGCGGACGACAAGGGCGTCATGGACTACTACCTGAAGTACTTCAGCGGCGCCCACGACGGCGACGTCTACCCGGCCTGGTCGCCCAAGGTGGAGAAGAAGATCCGCGCCAAGGCCTTCCAGAAGTGCCCCATCTGCGAGAAGGTCATCCAGGGGGCCGGGAAGCTGCCGCGGCACATCCGCACCCACACGGGCGAGAAGCCCTACGAGTGCAACATCTGCAAGGTCCGCTTCACCAGGTGAGCCACCCGCGCCGCGGCGCCCCGGGGCCCCTGCCCACCCTCGGCACACACGGCCCCTCCCCGCGCACCACACGCACACCACGCTCCCGGCCCTGCGCCCTTGACAACAGCACGGACCAGTCCCTGCCCTCGTGGGCGGACGTCCCGGCCGGGCACAGCACAGGCGAGAGACAGTGACCGCGTAGCGCGTGAAGCCTGCCAGACAGGGACGGCCAGGGAGGCTGGCGGGGAGGACACGGGAGCCGCTCTTCCCTTCCACACCGTAGATTTTTCTCTCTCTTTTTTCCTTGGGGAGAGGTGACAGCTCCTTAGGGAGGTACGATGGTGGCTGTTGAGTCGCTTTTAAGTCTCCCGTGAGTTTGGGTAGTTTGTTTTCATTCTGCCGACATTTATTAAGCACCTGCTGGGTGCCAGGCCCTGTCCTAGGCGCTGGGGACACTGCAGTGGAGAGACAGGCCTCGCGGGTACCTGGAGGAGGCCAGGTGGGGAGATGAGGAAAAGGGTTTTCCAGCCAGAGGGAACAGCCAGCGCGGAGGCCCTGAGGCCAGTTCAGCTTAGGGGATCACCGAGGCGGTTGGTGCTGCGGGGCTTGGTCCCCGAACGGCAGGAGTTCAAGGCCAGGCCAGGGCAGTTTGCGATTTGGTCTCAGGAGCCCAGAGGTGGCTGGCTGGGCCTTGTGGATCCAGGGCGGGCCAGGGCGGTGGGGGCAGGGGGCTGGCCAGGCGATGACTCAGCATCACCCCTGCCCCCCACCCACCCTGGGGTTCCCCAGCCACGCCCACCGAGGCTGAAGAAAGGGGCCATTGTCTCAGCTTCCCGGCCCCGCCCCATGGGGACAAGAACTGGGGCTGACCCCCTCCCCAGCACCCCTGGCCCCCTCCCCAGCAGGCCAGGAGAGGAGGGTGCGGCCCAGGCTCCTGCGCATGGGAGTGTCAGGCGAGGGGCAAAGGGCACGGGGTAGGAGGCAGGCAGTGCTGGGAGACTGGGGTTCTGGAGTTCTGGGGGGCTCCCTCCTCCTCCAAGCAGGGGCCCTGAGGTAGCCACAGGCCCTGTGCTCGGGGGTCTCTGAGCACAGGAGGGGCGCAGGGAGCGGGATCTGGAGAGGGACCTGGCCGGGCAAAGGTGCCTGCCCCACCCTCGCCCCCACGGGGCTGGGGCCACCGGCCTCCCTAACCGCAGGCTAGAGCCTCAGTTTCATTCTCACTTGGCTGCCCCCCCCCAACCCAAGGCCAGCCCCACCTGCCAGTCAGGGAAACTGAGGCCGAGAGAGAGAGAGAAAGAGAGGCACTCAGGCCTCTTCCCACCACCGACCCACCTGCTTCCCCTGTGCCCCGAGCCCAGGGCCCCAGCCCCCCGCCCGCGGGAGCCGGCCCCCTCCCACCCAAGGCCGGGAGCCCAGGGGCCCCTCTGAGTCACCAAAGTGTTGAGTAAGCGGGGCCCGTGGCGGCCGGGGCTATAATTACCCCGGCTGGGGCTTGGGGTGATGAAACTGGGGCTACCTCCGCCCCCATCTCTGCGTGGCCCCCCGGCCCGCTGTGCAGCTCCAGGCAAGTCACTTCCTTTCTCTGAGCCTCCTAGCCTCCGCTGGGGAAGTCTCTACACAGTGCCCGAGAAACTTAGCGCCTGCTGTCCCCTCTGTGCCCTGGCCCCGTGCCAGCTCTGGGCAGGGCGCCTGGGAGACCACGCTAGTGGGCTTTGCAGGAGGCAACAGGAAGGAGCCAGAGGCCTGGAGGCTGGCAGCAAATGGGCTTAGTCCAGGGAGTGACCAGTTGATTGCAGCCCAGTGGGGCAAGGCTGGAGAGGGGGCAGGGGTCTAGTTGCCAAGGGGTCAGGCCTTGGCCCTTGGAGCAGTAGAGCCAAGGAAAGGGTAGAGTAAGTACGGACACCAGCTCCGTGGGTGCTAGAAGAGAAGTCAGGTCTTTTGAGGTTGGAAGAGGTGGAGGGGCATTCAAGGTGGGGCTTAGAGGGATGAATAGGAGTTTGCCAGTCCTCACACTTAAAGAAGCTGTCAGTTTGCTGAATGTGAGAAGGAAGAAACCCAGAGTGCCTGGGATGAGGGGTCCAAGGAGCAGGTCAGATGCTAAATTAGGGCACCTTAGATCTAGGTCTCCCTCCTGCCCTCCACTTTCTGGGAAGGAATCTGCTCCTAGCAGTGTGGACCAGCACCATGCAATAGAAATACCGTGCAGGCCACCTACGTAATTTTACATTTTCTGAAAGCCATGTTAAGAAAAACCAAAAGAGAGCTGGTGAAAAGCCATTTTACATAACCTGATGGATTCATTTATTTCATCGTGTAATCCACGTGCAGAATTACGCGTGCGTTACTTTTCGCATAACAAGTCTTTAAAATCTGGGGTGCCCTCTGCACCTCCCGTGTACCTCAGCTCAGACCGGCCGCCTTTTGAGGGCGCAGGAGCTGCCGGTGGCCGGCGGTGTCATACAGGACAGAGTGGTGCCTGATACGGCGACCGCTTTGTGGGCTAACGCCCCCGACTGAGCCAGGTCCTCCCTGTCCCCTGTAAGGTGAGACGAGCAGGGAGGGAATGCGAGTCGCACCCGGCACCTGCCGTCTTGGGGCTAGATGAGAAACAAGGAACCCAAACGAGAGAGTCGGGTGGCGATGACTTGAGGGACCAGGCAGTGGGGTCCAGCAGGGCAACTGGGAAGAGGTGACATTTGAGCCCAAATTTGATTGTCAAGGTCTGAGAGGGAAAAAGTGCTCTGGACAGAGAGAATAGCAGATGCAAAGGCCCTGAGGCAGGCTCTTGCATGCCATGTTGGGGTGACAGCCAGGGAGCCATCAAGGCCAGAGGGGAGAGTTGTCAGGTCCCGGTTGCCGTGGAGTGGGGACTCGGTTACTAGGGTGACCAACTGCCCCAGTTTGCCCACTACCCAGGGGTGTCCCGGGATGCAGGACTCTGAGTGCTAAAACCAGAACAGTTGGTCACTCTATCTGTCACCAAACACCCCGGCGACCGCCAGCTTCTCTCCCTGCGGTATTTTCAGCACCTGGAACAGGGCCTGGCCCCCGGCAGGCGCTGGGTAAATGTCTGCAGTGTGAATGAAGGCCACGGCCACCCTCTGGCTTTGTCCTGCCCCTGCGCAGAGGCCCGCTATCTTCTCCTCTTGTGGTCGGGAGAGAGGTTCAGAGAGGTTTAGCGGTTACCTAACGCCACACAGCACGCAGGCCCTCTTCAGAGTCCCAGAACATTAAAGTGCCCCGCTTTGTCCCCCCGTTTTGTCGCGGACTGCCCACGCCGGGACACTGGTCCGCTTTCCAGAACAGTGGTCCTGGGGGGCTGCCACGTCGGCGAGGGTCCCCGGGCAGAGCCCAGGGGGGCCCCACTGACCGCCCCCGCCCCGTCCGCAGGCAGGACAAGCTCAAAGTGCACATGCGGAAGCACACGGGCGAGAAGCCGTACCTGTGCCAGCAGTGCGGCGCCGCCTTCGCCCACAACTACGACCTGAAGAACCACATGCGCGTGCACACGGGCCTGCGGCCCTACCAGTGCGACAGCTGCTGCAAGACCTTCGTCCGCTCCGACCACCTGCACAGACACCTCAAGAAAGACGGCTGCAACGGCGTCCCCTCGCGCCGCGGCCGCAAGCCCCGCGTCCGGGGCGGGGGACCCGACCCCAGCCCGGGGGCCGCCGCGCCCCCCGGCGCCCCCGCCCCGCCCGGCTCCCCCGACGCCCGGCGCAACGGCCAGGAGAAGCACTTTAAGGACGAGGACGAGGACGAGGACGCGGCCAGCCCCGACGGCTTGGGCCGCTTGAATGTAGCGGGCGCCGGCGGCGGAGGTGACGGCGGAGGGGGCCCTGGGGCTGCCACCGACGACAACTTCACAGCCGGACTCGCCTAAAAACCAAAAAGAGAAAACAGAAACCCGAGAACGAGAGAGCGAGAGAGAGAGAGAAAGAGAGAGAGAGAAAAACCACCCACCACCCCCCCAAAAACACAAAAAAAGAAAATCTATCTATATACAGATATCTATATCTATATATATATATACAGATATATATATATGAAGCGTCACAGAATCTAGGGTAGCGCTTTCCTCAGACTCCCCCCTCCCTGACGTGGTCCCCCCTCCAGGGCCCGGCCCCCACCCCCGGCTCCCCCCCACACCCCGTCATTGGGTTTTGGGGCTTGGTTTGGGGTTTTTGTGGGACACAAGGATTCCGCGCACCCCTGGCCCCCCTGAGCGCCCGGCGTGGGGTCCGAGGCCCTGGACTGGGGCGAGGGCGGACTTCGGGGGGCTTGGGGGGGTGCTGGGGACTGGGGTGGGCTTTTAGTTTCCTCCCCTTGCTGGTTTGTAGGAGTCTTTTGGACAAGACCTTAAATGATTTCTGTCTGCTCTGAGCGGACGTTAAAATGGACCGCCGGCCCCCCACCCTCCTTCCTCAGGGCACTTACTAAGGGGGGGGTCTCCCCTCGATCTCCCCGACTGCCTCCCCACCTCCCACCCTGCCCGTGGCCGGCGCCCCGCATCTCCCGGCCGCCGAGACGCAAATCTATTTATTCCCAGGCCTGGAGGAAGGGGGACAGGACCGTGGGCTGGGGCTGGGGGGCGGGGGGGGCACCAGGATGGCCCCGGTGGCTCCTGCCGCCTCCCTTCACGGCACTTAGAACTGGCGGGACCCCCAGGGGCCACCCCTCAGGGCGCCCCCCCTGCCGCCCACGCCCCTCCATCCCAACGTTCGGAGATTCGAAACTTTTGTTTCTGCCCTGTACCCGGAGCCCCCCGCCGTGTCCCGACTTTTTAAAGCACTTTTTAGATTATTTTTTTTTCTCTTTTTCTCCTTAAAAACAAAATTTATATATAGATATATATATATAAAAAATATATACTTTTCCTCAGAGGAGCAGGCAAACCGTGTGGCGTGTGCAGAGCCCGGACGGGACGGATGCCCAGGTCCGGGGATGGCAGGGATGGCAGACAGAGACAGACAGAGACGGTCCACAGTTCCAGTGTCACAAAAGCAATAAAAGAAACAAAAACAAGATTTTACAAAACGAAAGGAAGATAAAAAAAAAACAAAAACAACAAAAAAAAATAGGCTACCAACCACATTAGAAGTCTTGGCACTTTGTAACAGAACGGGTACTACACTTATCTTAATTCTTAATTTAAAAAAAAAAAACCATGTTTACAAGTTGCAACCAACTTCTATGAAAAGTTGAAAAGACAAAAAAAAAGCGAGAGAGAGAGAGAGAGAGAGAGAGAGAGAGAGCAAAAGAAATTCCTAGAAGTCGATTTATTTTTGTACAAAATAATAAAAAAAAAAACCCATCGCAGACGTAGAATCCACTTCTGTTCCCCAAAGGCAAGAAGGGGGGGCCCAGGAGGAAGCCCCCGGAAGGGACCCGAGAGACACGCTCTGAGGGGTCCGTTGCGTGACCCACGGACTTGGCCTCGAAGGCAGGACGGTGGGGTTTTTGTGTTTGTGCCGTGTCACCCCCCGGCCCCCGGCCCTTCCCCCCCAGTTATGTCCCCTTTTTCCGTTCTGATTTGGAGAAGTCCTACCGCCCGAGAGCCATACGAGTGGCCGTCTCTGCCCACGGGGACCCTCCTTCCTCACCCCCTAGCTCAGGGATGGCCCGAGAGGGGGCTGGCCTTCCAACCAGCCCGAGCACCCCGACCCGCACCCCCGGACCCCCGATGGCTGTCCTCCTGCATGGCCACCGAGGAGCTGCCATCCTGGACACGCCCGCCCCTTTGAGGTGGGTGACAGGGGCCCCCCACCTCCAGGGCCTTAGACCCTTCCCGCCCCAAGCACCCCTCTTTTTACTCAAAGGCACTGACTGTATCCCCGGGGTGCTGGCACCTGCCTGCCCCCCATCTCTGGCTCCCGCAGGGCCCGGCGGAGACCGAGCCTTAGGCCACGGAGTGGGGCCGGGGTTGGGGAGACGATGTCACCAGGCGCCAGGACGCACCCCCCGCACCCTGCCCCTGTCCTGCATATGCAACGCCTAGCGTGGGACCCTGTATATAACCCTCCCCGCCACCCCCCCAGACTCCCCGCCAGTGCCGGGGGGGTGTCGCCCTGCTCCCGTGTGACAGCACCTCTTCTTGTCTGTCCTTTTTCTTTCATTTTTAAAGGGAAGCTTTCTAAGAAGGTAATTTTCATATTGTTTCCACAGGATAGTGTTTTGGTTTCCTTCCCTCCCCCCGCTGCAAACCTGTCAGCTCCCCCCACACGCACCCCGAATGTCTCAGGATCCCCCTCCGGGGCCGGCCCAGGGCCGGGTGGCAGCACGCTGGCCTCGGTCATCCCCCAACTTCAGAGAACCATCTTGTCGTGGCCGAGCAGGGACACCTCCCCTCCCCGCCCCCCATCCCCAAAAAAGCTCCCAGAGAGGTCCCACAAGAGGGGAGCCCTGTTCCCCCTACCCACACACCCCCTCGCAATAAAACCAACTCGAAAATCACAGCTGTCGTCCTGGCCAGTGGGGGCGACCGGACTTGGGGGGGTGTGGAGCCCTCTGGGACTGGTGGGGACAGGGGCCGCGGCCCACCGCGTGCGACACTCACAGAGACCTCGGGATTTGCACTAAACCCCTGCCCCTAGCTCCGAGCTCAGCTTCGCCCGCCCGCCCACTCTGCCTTAACCGCCCGCCCGCCCCGGGGGCCGCAGCGACCGCATGGGCCCAAGCCGGGACCCCCAGCCCTGCC